AGCACCCGGCCCAACTAGTCAATTACAAAAGTGAGTAAAGAGAATTAGGTAACGACCCAACCAGACACATGTGAAAATCTTTCTCGACCCCAAATTCGTTAACACCGAGTTCAACTCACTCTAACCCGGTCGAATACCCGTGTAAAACTCATTGCCGACCAAACAATCGTCAACATTCGATTCTCGGCCAAAAAATCGTCAACATCGAATGTCGGCGAAAAATTCATCACCATCGTTTTCAAATCTCTTTAGTCGAGACAAAAAAAAAATTATCAACATCAGTTCGCGACCAAAAATTTGAGTTGGGTTCAATTGTTGCTAAAAAAAAATTTGCGTTCAATTATCACTAAGCATCCGACCCAACCTGTCATTTACAAAAGTGAGTAAATATAATTAGGTAACAACCCAACCTGACACATGTGAAACTCTTTCTCGAGCCAAAATTCGTTAACACTGAGTTCAACTCACTCTAACCTGGACGAGTACTCGTGTAAAGCTCATTGTTGGCCAAACTTTCGTTAACATTCGGTTATCCGCCAAAAATTCGTCAACATCGTTTGCCGGAAAAATATTCGTTAACATCGAGTTCAAATCGCATTAGTCGGGACGAAAAAATTCATCAACATCGGTTGTCACCCAAAAATTAGATTTGGGTTCAATTCTCACTAAAGGAAAGAAATCTGCACCCGACCCAACCCGTCAATTACAAAAGTGAGTAAACAGAATTAGGTAACGACCCAACCCGGCAGATGTGAAACTCTTTCTCTACCGCAAATTCGTTAACATCGAGTTCAACTCACTCTAACCCAGTCGAATACCCGTGTAAAACTCATTGCCGACCAAAAAATCGTCAACATTCGATTGTCGGCCAAAAAATCGTCAACATCGATTGTCGGCGAAAAATTCATCAACATCATTTTCAAATCTCTTTAGTCGAGACAAAAAAAAAATCATCAACATCAGTTTGCGACCAAAAATTGGATTTGGGTTCAAATGTCGCTAAAAAAAAAATTTGCGTTCAATTATCAGTAAGCATCCTACCCAACCTGTCATTTACAAAAGTGAGTAAATATAATTAGGTAACAACCCAACCCGACACATGTGAAACTCTTTCTCGAGCCAAAATTCGTTAACACTGAGTTCAACTCACTCTAACCCGGACGAGTACTCGTGTAAAGCTCATTGTTGGCCAAAATTTCGTTAACATTCGGTTGTCCGACAAAAAATCGTCAACATCGTTAGCCGGGAAAATATTCGTTAACATCGAGTTCAAATTGCATTAGTCGGGATGAAAAAATTCATCAACATCGGTTGTCACCCAAAAATTGGATTTGGGTTCAATTCTCACTAAAGGAAAGAAATCTGCACTCGACCCAACCCGTCAATTACAAAAGTGAGTAAACAGAATTAGGTAACGACCCAACCCTACACATGTGAAACTCTTTTCAACCCCAAATTCGTTAACATCGAGTTCAACTCACTCTAACCCGATCGAATACCCTTGTAAAGCTCATTGCCGACCAAAAAATGGTCAACCTTCGATTGTCGGCCAAAAAATCGTCAACATCGAATGTCGGCGAAAAATTCATCAACATCGTTTTCAAATCTCTTTAGTCGAGACAAAAAAAATCATCAACATCAGTTCGCGACCAAAAATTCGATTTGGGTTCAATTGTCGCTAAAAAAAAATTTGCGTTCAATTATCACTAAGCATCCGACCCAACCTGTCATTTACAAAAGTGAGTAAATATAATTAGGTAACAACCCAACCCGACACATGTGAAACTCTTTCTCGAGCCAAAATTCGTTAACACTGAGTTCAACTCCCTCTAACCTGGACAAGTACTCGTGTAAAGCTCATTTTTGGTCAAACTTTCGTTAACATTCGGTTGTCCGCCAAAAATTCGTCAACATCGTTTGCTGGAAAAATATTCGTTACATCGAGTTCAAATCGCATTAGTCGGGACGAAAAAATTCAGCAACATCGGTTGTCACCCAAAAATTAGATTTGGGTTCAATTCTCACTAAAGGAAAGAAATCTGCACCCGGCCCAACCCGTCAATTACAACAGTGAGTAAACAGAATTAGGTAACGACCCAACCCGACAGATGTGAAACTCTTTCTCGACCCCAAATTCGTTAACATCGAGTTCAACTCACTCTAACCAAGTCAAATACCCGTGTAAAAGTCATTGCCGACCAAAAAACCGTCAACATTCGATTGTCGGCCAAAAAATCGTCAACATCGATTGTCGGCGAAAAATTCATCAACATCATTTTCAAATCTCCTTAGTCAAGACAAAAAAAAATCATCAACATCAGTTCGCGACCAACAATTGGATTTGGGTTCAATTGTCGCTAAAAAAAAAATTTGCGTTCAATTATCAGTAAGCATCCTACCCAACCTGTCATTTACAAAAGTGAGTAAATATAATTAGGTAACAACCCAACCCGACACGTGTGAAACTCTTTCTCGAGCCAAAATTCGTTAACACTGAGTTCAACTCACTCTAACCCGGACGAGTACTCGTGTAAAGCTCATTGTTGGACAAAGTTTCGTTAACATTCGGTTGTCCGCCAAAAATTCGTCAACATCGTTTGCCGGCAAAATATTCGTTAACATCGAGTTCAAATCGCATTAGTCGGGACGAAAAAATTCGTCAACATCGGTTGTCACCCAAAAATTGGATTAGGGTTCAATTCCCACTAAAGGAAAGAAATATGCACCCGACCCAACCCGTCAATTACAAAAGTGAGAAAACAGAATTAGGTAACGACCCAACCCGACACATGTGAAACTCTTTCTCGACCCAAAATTCGTTAACACCAAGTTCAACTCAATCTAACTCGGTTTAATACCCGTGTAAAGCTCATTGTCGACCAAAACCCAAAATTCGTCAACATTGGTTGTCAGCCAAAAATTCATCAAAATCGAAATCGCTTTAGTCGGGACGATATTAGGTCGAATACTCATTGATTTAAGCATATAAACCTCGTTGTCAAACCAAAAATCATCAACACCAGGTTTAACTCGCTTAAATCTGATTGAAGTAGGCCGAATATATTGATTTAGGCTCGTGTGTTATAAGTTAATTAATTAGAACCTTAGGTCGAATATCTATTGATTTAAGCGTGTAAGCAAAAATTTGTCAACACTGGGTTAAACGCGCTTTAACCGAGTCTACATTAGGTCAAATATCCGTTGATTTAATCGAGCAAAACTCATTGTTGAGCCAAAATTCGCCAACACGTGTTCAACTTGCTTTAACCGGGTCGAATTACGTCAAATAATCTAATACCCATTGATTTTGGTTCAATTTGGGTTCAATTGTCATAACTTAATCAAATGGAAAACTCATTGTTGAGCCCAAATTCGTCAACACGGGTTCCACTTGCTTAACCGGGTTGAATTAGGTCAAATATTCAAATAGATTATGGTTCAATTGATTTTTATTCAATTTGGGTACTATTGTCATAAGTTAATTCAATTTGGGTTCAATTGTCATAAGGTAATTAAATAGAACCTTAATGGCACAAAAACTCCTCCAACCTTTGGTTAATTACAAAATAATCAATCCTTATGATGGGACACTATACAATAGCAACTTCTTAAAGTGAGTAAAGAGAATTAGGTAACGACCAAACCCAATATATGTGAAACTCTTTCTCGACCCAAAATTCGTTAGCACCAAGTTCAACTCACTCTAACTCGGTCGAATACCCGTGTAAAGCTAATTGTCGGCCAAACTCCAAAATACGTAAACATTGGTTGCCGGCCAAAAATTCATCAAAATCGTGTTGAAATCGCTTTAGTCGGGACGACATTAGGTCGAATACCCATTGATTTAAGCATGTAAACCTAGTTGTCAAACCAAATTTATCAACACCGGGTTCAACTCGCTGAAACCGGATCGAATTAGGTTAATTCAATTTGGGTTCAATTGTCATAAGCTAATCAAATGCAAAACTCATTGTTGAGCCAAAATTCGTTAACACGGGTTCAACTTGCTTTAACCGGGTCGAATTAGGTGAAATATTCTAATAGATTTTGTTTCAATTTGGGTTCAATTGTCATTAGGTAATTGAATTTGGGTTCAATTGTCATAAGTTAATTCAATAGAACCTTAATGGCACAAAAAACTCCTCCAATTTTTGGTTAATTACAAACAAATCACTTCTTATGATGGGCACTATGCAATAGTAACTTTTTACTTGTTCTTTTAATAAGATAAAATAATAATTATAATAATAATTATAAATAGTGCGTCCAAATAAAGATATACAGAGAAACACCCTCGAACTAGTAAAAATAGCAATCAACATAAAAACAACATGACTATCTAAGACCAATACGATATACCTTCCAGCACCAACTTAACAAAATACGAGTACCTAGCCATGTATGATATACCTAGCAATTGTGGCCAACTTAATTCATCAATATATCGCAGCATGCAGGAGTTTAAGTAAGTAAAGTAACTAGCTGGGGGGAGGGGGGTTGTTAGAAACAAAGTTTCTAACGAGATTCGGATTGCGTGATATTTGAGAATTTAGGGATTGAAATATAGAATTAGGGATTTGAAGAAGAATTGGGGGAAGAAGAAAGGTCGGCGGCCGGATTAGGGAAGGAAGAGAAATTGAGAGGATTTGGGAGGGACTATGGTTTAGGAATTTTCTTAATATGCTTCTTATTGATTCTGAATGAAAACCTAAAGTACATATTTATAAGGAATACGGGAAAACCCTAATAATAAACCTAATTCTACTAAAAGACTACTAACCATAATAAGAATTACCCTAATGATAATTATAATAATAAATAGAGAAATCTTACAGAAATCAGTTTCTAACATCTCCTCCTCCTGAGACCAACCTTGTCCTCAAGGTTTCAGCTAGCTTCACTGACGGTGATAATCACCGGTTAACCGGCTAACCGGCAAAGCTAACCCCCTCTCAAAAACAACGCCACCCTCCAGTTTAGGCCCTAAACCCTAATCGAGCATGAGCAGAGACCCTCAATCTCTCATTCTCTCTAGTCTCTTCTGCAGCATCGCGAGAGTCGAGACCCTCCTCCATCTCCCTGACGCGGTGCCGCTGCCGCCTGCCATCGCGAGAGTCGAGACCCAACGCAAAGTCGCCGCCGCCCGCCAGCCATCCCCTTCCTTCCGCCGCCGCGACCTCGGCCTCCTCTGGTCACTGCTAGCAGTCCTCCGCCGGCGCCATTCCAGAACGGCGACCAGTGCCCCTCTGCGCAGGCCATTGAATTATGTAAGTTTACTTTGTCTTTCTAAAAGTATATGATTTGGTTCTCGTTTCCAATTAGTATATGATTTCAATTGGTGAAGCTTGTTTGAATGAGATGAGATGCTCATCATAATTGTGAATCCCATGTTTTGGTATATAGAGGGACAGAGGGAGGGAGGGAGAACTTAGCTAGCAAAGCAAATTATAATTGAGGCTCTGGATTAACGAGAGAGAAAGAGACAGAGAGCTGATGGATTGGGGGGATTTGGTTCTTCTTGCTTTGTGTTCATCTTCTTTAATTACTTGCTATTTCAGATTTCTACAAGCCTTTGAATTATAAACAAATTTGAGCTGCTTACTTGTGAGGTTCTTTATCTCTTGTTATAATTGAAGGCTTGGTAGAGATTCTATTTTAAATGGATAGTTAACCATTACTGTGAGATTGCAAACTGTGGTATAGTGAGTTTTGGCGTGTTTCAGTTATGCTGCTTTTTCACTGCTCTTTGTCTCTCTTTTCTCTTTGGGTCTCAATTTGTGTAATTGTTTTTGTAGGGCGAGACCTCCGGCTCCTCATCGTGGACGTGACGGACGAGGTGTCCCTACTGCTGCTACTGCTCCTCGTGGTGGGAGACCTCCGGCAACTCAAGGTCGTGGTGGTGCGACTGCTCCTGTTCAGACCCGGGGTCGTGGTGGGCGTACAGGAAGTCGACCTGTTCAACCTACCGAAGCTGAACCGTCTTCATCAACTCCATCGATTCCCGCCTCTGTCGATAGTGGAAGTACACCTGTCGGTACACCTGCCGAGACTCCTACCGAGACTCCTTATGTTGACACGGGCGCTCCTGATTCAGAGACAACTACAAGAGACATTTTTTACTGCGAGAAATGGTTGAAGACGGTGGGTAAAGCTTCTTGTTGGAAGGTGTTTAAGAAGTTGATAGTTGACAGCTACCCGATGGGAGAGTGCATACACTGTCATACTCTAATCAAAGCTCCTCCTCACAAAAATGGGACCACTGCAATGAATAACCACATGCACTCATGTTTGGCTAAGTTGGCAGCAAATAAAAATCAGACAGTATTGCAGACATCAGCAGGTGGTCAAGTAAGTGGTTTATGGAAGTGTGATCGGGGAAAAGCTAGATATGCATTAGCAGTATGATCATTATGGATGAATTATCATTTCTCTTTGTGGAGGGGGAAGGATTTAAGCAATTCATGTCTTCTGTTCAGCCACTGTTTAGGATACCCGGGAGGAAAGCTATAAGAGATGACTGCTTTCATATCTTCTTGGATAGAAAGATGGATTTAATTGATTTTTTTGAATCAAGGAGCCAAGGAAGAGTTTCAATCACTAAGGATACATGGACTTCTAATACCAACAAGAATTACATGTGTGTTACTGCTCACTTTGTTGGAGGTGATTGGAAGTTGCAGAAGAAGGTGATACCCTTTGTTCCCATCACAAGTCATACTGGAGTTGATATTGCAGAGAAGCTTGCAGAAGTTCTTGAAGAGTGGAAGGTGAAGAATCTGTTCTGCATGACCATGGACAATGCAACTTCAAATGATGTTGTCAGTGAGTGCATGATAACGAAGCTAAAGGAGTGGGGGTTTGATTTGATGGATGGGAAGTTTCTACAGTTTCGATATGTTGCACACATCATTAATCTGGTGGTACAAGATGGACTGAAAGTTTATGACTTTATGTTCTAGTATTTGAGACATTAATTTGGTGATTTAAATCTATTTTCTATGCAAAAATGATTGAAACTTGACTTGTGGAGTGATTTAGATGTACAAATGTAGGGCTGCACGTTTAATTTTAGGCAATTTTTATCGATCTTGTTTGCATAGGGGTGCTGTCGGGTTCGGTTACTCGATTTTGTCGCTTTAAGCAACGTAAAGTGCTAAACGGACAGGCTGTTTAGAGTGGATTAATTTAAAGTCATCCGAGTCCCCAGTGAGAGAAATTTACTTTTCCAACCCTGTAACCGGGCTTGGTATTTATCCACCACCGAGTTCCAAATATAGATGGAGTTAGGGCAATCCCCTAAAGGAAGACCAAGGTATTTTAGAGGATTCATCACTCCATTTGAAGCCAAAGATTAACGCAAGGTAACTAGGTTCAGGAACATCCCCCACGGTAAACATCATAGACTTGTCAAGGTTGATTTTCAGCCATGTAACTGTCTGAAAACATATCAATGTAGCAAGAATGTTGAGGACTTGTTCGGCATTAGCGTCGCTGAAAATCAGGGAATCATCGGCAAAAAGAAGGTGAGTAACTTCACCTCCTCCTCTACTCTCATCCATGTAGAAACCAAACAGACCATCCTCCCCCCAAGCTTCGAAATCATATAAGATAATAGGTCCATAACCAACACAAACAGCCCCGGGGAGAGGGGATCCCCTTGTCGAACACCTTTGCTCGCTCGGAAATAACCATAAGCTTCTCCGTTCCCCCAGGATAGACGTCATTGGAGAGCACAAGTCACCTTTAATCCATTATTGCCATTTTCTCAGAAAACCCAATCTATCCAATACATTAAAGAGGCAAGACCAGCTGATGTTATCAAAGGCTTTTTCAGTATCGAGTTTAAACATTAAACCCGGTTTTCTACTCTTTCTTCTGTTGTCCACAAGCTCATTAGCGATGAGAGTTGCCTCAGAAATGTGTCTACCACGAATGGAGGCATGCTGATTCTACATGACCCTCTTTGGGAGGACATAGCTAAGACGCTTCATTAAGACCTTGCTTACCAACTTATTCAAACTATTCATCAAGCATTTCGGACGGAGGTCTTTAACACTTTCCACCACATCGACTTTCGGAGTTAGGCAAATGAAGGCATGAGTAATGCAATCCGGTAGGTAGCCTATTTCATGGAAGTCACCAAAAGCCCGAAGAACATCATGCTTGCAAAGTGGCCAGCATTTCTTGTAGAATTCTAACGTAAATCGATCTGGTCCCGGAGCCTTTGACCCATCACTTGAGACTAAGGCATCCTAGATTTCCTTCTCGCTGAACGGTCGGATTAGGTGGCTGCAATCCACAGAACTCAAAGTAGGACAGGCATAAAGGTTTGGAAACGGTCTATGAGGAATTGGTTCTTGGAAAAGAGCATTATAGTATTCTGCAATTCTGGTTCCGAGCTCCTGTTTCCCTTCAACCATCACTCCTTTAATCTAAATCCGATTAATGGTATTAATCTTCCTTCGGTAGTTAGCAGTCTTGTGAAAGTATCTAGTATTCCTCTCCCCTTTCTGGTTCCAATTCTCCCTGGAATTGAGAGCATTCTTCAATTCCATCCTCCAACCCTCCCTTTTAATGAAATCAGCTTCCTGAAGAGACCCAATTTCTTCTGAGTCATTTAGCTCTTTAATATTCTTGATAAGGTTATCAATATGAACCTTGATATCTCCAAAAACCTCCCTATTCCAAATCTTGATATTTCGCTTCAAGAAGGCCAGGCTTCTAGACCAGAGGAAAACAAATCCTCTGCCAAAGACCGGAGCTTTAAACCATTCCACAAAGGTTGGAAGGAATCTATCATCTTGCAGCCACATATTTTTGAACTTCCATGGCCGACGAATACAATCATTGTTGCCCCAAGATATATAGAGATGATTATGATCAGACTCAATCCTTTTCAGAGCTGTAAGACTGCAATCAGGAAAGAGATTATCAAATTCTATCGATATGAACACCCTATCAATGCGCTAATGAGAATCAATCTCCCAACCATTGCACAAAGTAAAACGACTACCTCCTAAAGGAAGCTCAGAGATAGCAAGATCATCAATCAATTCGTTAAATTCAAACATTAAATCAGAGCTCCTTCTAGCACCGCTATAGTCATCATCATTTCTGATCAAATTGAAGTCCCCCGTCAAGCAGTACGGAAATGAGATATGAGAGCAATAATCCTGTAGATCAGCAAGAAAACTCAGTTTGTCATTTCTATCTTGCGGCCCATACACAACAATGAGCAAACAGACTTTTGAGCGAACAATGTCTTCGAACAGGACGGAAAAGAAGTAAGACCCAATGTAATTGGAGATTTCCTTGTATAGGAGCTTATCCCAGAAAACAAGAATGCCACCAAAGCTCCTATACGCATCTTTAGCTATCTAGTCTACATCTCTAGATCCACTGACACTTACAACCAGATCAAGATCACATTTACCCCATTTGGTTTCAATGAGCGCTACAATCTGGGGGTTTTTTCTTCTAACAATACATTTAATGCGGCTCCTCTTATCGGGATCACCAAGCCCTCTAACATTGCACACAAAGAGAGAGGAACCCATTAATCAGTAGAAGAAGCGTTTCCCATCCAGTTGGTGGCCGAACTCCTCCTTTGTGAACCCGCATGAGAGGCAATATCGGGACCAAGGCGACGTAATTCCATTTCAAGTTTAGCACGGGGGGGGGGGGGGGCTGATCTTTCTGCTATGAGTAGATTTAGCTGTCTCCACAATTAGCGAACTCATCTGCTCATTATCATCAGGGATTAGATCATAAACCCTGGCCAGGCCAATGCTTCTCGTCGTGAGACTATCAACATCGAAAGGGTAGGAATTCATGTCCCAATCGCTTCTTGAGGTAACTGAGGCACACAAAGGAGAGGGCATCTCTTCTGGAAAAGTCGAAAGTACGCTGGTCTAAGGTGGGGATGTATGGGTAGAGATAGGTTGCGTAGAAGAAGGAAATGAAGTTGGGGAGGGGGAGTTTTCTGAGGGGGTGCAGGGGACCACATCTATGCTGGGAAAAGAAGGTAGGGTAGGAGTGGAGGGTTCTTGAGGGTCTTTGGAGCATACTAGGAGTTGCAGGTTTTGGGCGATGGCCAAGGATGAAGACGAGATAGTGCTGGAAAGGTTACTGAGGTGGCTAGAGGAGAATGAGGATAAGCTAAGGCTCAGGAAAGGGGGAAAGTGAGGTGGGAGAGAACCATTAGAGATGTTGATAGTCAGCAGCCGAGAACCCAAACCAAAATCCAACTTCTTTCTAAACTTGCGCCAATAAGCAGTGGTTGGAACTCCGTTTAACTGAACCGACGGTGATTTTCTTTTAACTAACAACCATCAAAATCGTGGGGTAATCTTTTCCTCAATGACTTTCATGGTAGTAAAGTCGATCTCGTCACCTGTTGCACTCCGTGACGCTTTGCGAGCTTTACCGGCTGACTCCGGGACCAAAACGTGGTCCCTAAATTTAATCAGGGTTCCAATCGAGGCGGAAGCTTCATTCTCATATTAAACACCCTTTGTTATTGCAGCGACATACTCACCGGGACCATGTCTGCGTTTGGGAGTGGAGTCATCTCCTTTAGAAACACGTACAGTCGCGGGATTCCCTGTAGCGGCAGCCTTAAGAATAAAAACCGCAGCGGCCACTTCTCGTTGAGTCCAATTACCGCCACTCTCCTTCTGCTCATCCTCTTCCATCCGCGAGCACCGCACCAGGCGCCGGGAAGTAGTCTCCGGAGAGAAGTTGCTCCGCCTCTCTCCCCGATCCCTTTCGAACGACGTCTCGACCAAAGTCTTCGTCATTCGCTGCGACCCTCCAGCGATTCGCAACTCTGTTGAGGCACTATTCACAGACAGCTGCTCGTTGGCCCCACCAGCCTCTACGGTCGGAGGCTCCCTCACTGTCGCGTCGCCACCTCCGTCCTTCAAGGCGGCCGTCCCGCGATGCAACCCGTAGGCCTTCCAATACTCCACGATATTCCATATTTTTTCCTGCTTTTGAGCCCATGCCAGCTCTGATATGTCGATTGAACTCATCTGGATTTGATATGGTAAGAATCTGTCCCTGAGAGATTTGTGACGAACTCACCTTTCGGAACCAGGCTCTGATACCAGATGTTAGAAACAAAGTTTCTAACCAGATTCGGATTGGGTGATATTTGAGAATTTAGGGATTAAGAATATAGAATTAGGGATTTGGAGAAGAATTGGGGGAAGAAGAATGGTCGGCGGCCGGATTAGGGAAAGAAGAGAAATTGAGAGGATTTGGGAGGGACTAGGGTTTAGGGATTTTCTTATTATGCTTCTTATTGATTCTGAATGAAAACCCAAAGTACATATTTATAAGGAATACGGGAAAACCCTAATAATAAACCTAATTCTACTAAAAGACTACTAACCATAATCAGAATTACCCTAATGATAATTATAATAATAAATAGAGAAACCCTACAGAAATCAGTTTCTAATAGGGGTGCCTTGGTGGGAAGAGGAAGCAGAGTGGAGTCCTTGGTGATTTTGACGTCGATCCAACTCATATGCCGGACGCCGTAATCAGACAGATTCATCCTTTCATTGGAAATTAGCTTACCGCTATGGCACAGATACAACTACATGTCCTCGGCGCCAACATCTTCCACCTTCCTTTCCTTCCGAATCCATTCCACAATAAGCCGGCATCTGGTGGTTCTCCATCCTCGTCCTCTCCGGCAGCACGAACAGGATCATCCTAAACGGGTGGTCCAACTTCAATTTTGACCTACAATACATTAGCCACTAGAATTACTTTATTCCATCTATAGTCACTTAAATTAGTTCAACGATTCAAGTTTGGTCACTCTCCGTTAGTCTCCATCATATCTTCCAACTTCCTTTCCTTCCGAATCCAGTCCACAATGAGCGACTTGAAACTGCTCATGGTGCTCCATTCATTGCATTTGATGTTGGTCGCCAAATTTCCGGGGCCCATGACCTGCACATACACAT